CAGGCCTCTGTCTTTACGGCAACGCTTCTTACAAACACCTATGTCATTGATCGCCTGCAAATGTGTGTTTATTTCAAATGACTGTCCGGACAACTGTTGTTGGGAACCGATGTTGGTAATGCTACTGGATTTGAATTTTGTTAATGCTCAGCGTAAAACTGGAATAATTTCACTTGTGAGCCGAAAATTTTATTTGCATTTCAACATTCTGTTCTAGCCTTATTTTTCGTCAGTCTCGAAACTGCAGCTTCCTCCTCAGTCTTGTTTCTCCAGTTAGAGAAAAGCTGTCGCAGTTTGGACTTTCATTTGTGCTCACGCAAGACGTAGGCATAAATTTAAATTCCTAAACTGGACATGATCAGAGAATATCCATGCAAAATTTTAGCGTTCTAGCTTGACTGTTTCAGGATGTTGATTATTGTACTTCCAAAACGGAAGCCTTCTAGCGACCTGATATTTCCAAATGCTGTGCCGCATGCCTGCCAAATCCTATTTGAAGTGGGATAATGTAAGCTTAGGCTAATCCTTTTTTCGATTTTTTAGCCAAACTTGACTTTGCTGTCTGTCCCAATAAAACGAAATGAGGTATTCCAGTGGGTGGTTACTGCCGTCTGGCAAAATGCTATCCATAACTGTTTAAAAAGAAACTCCGTTAGCGACAAAAGTACGTTTCCGCTGAGAGTAAGCTGTCAATAACAACTGTTCTGTTATGATATTAGGTAAATAAGATCAGTCATAAGCTTCTTTGTGTGCGTGACGTAAATATGTCTTCGTACATTCATATTTCTCCACGGTAGCTTGCCGCTTGTTAGTTCGACTACCATGTAAAGCCACGATTCAACATCATCTTTCCGGCACAGTTCACGCAAAATGTGTGCCGACAGTGGTGCATACTTTACGGTACCACGAAAACCGGTCAGTGCTCGAGGATTTCTCATTGTGCCATCTGCGTGGATGTACAATCGAGCCATACCGAAGTCCAGTACGTAGATCTGAAAAGATCGCATATTTCTGTGATTACATTCGAGTTAGTTTTTGCAACCAGGAGTAAATATCACTCAAAAAATGTATGATACTCATGTAGCTAAGAAAAGAATAGTGTTACGAAACGTTTTTTGGCAAAATTATTAATCGAATCTTACAAAGCCTTCGACGGCGAGAAGATTATAGGGGTGTTATTTTTCACCTGCATTAGCTTGACTTCACGATATCAAATGTAGCATTTAAAAGGGGGTAAGTTGGGAGCACCGCTGCGAAATGAAGAGCAGGGGAATTTCATCTGCTTTTTGCTTTATCAAACTTAGCTGAAAACTTTGTTGTTAGAGGTGAGTGAAAAAACATGAGGATACCTTGTTAGAGTAGGACCAGCCTTTTTTTGCGGGAATCAAGTTTTTGAGCTTTTCTTCTGTCTTCAGTCTTGGTTAGAAAAACGAGCAGTTCCATTTGAACATAATAATTTGATTCTGTTAAAAAGCTACTGGCGATTTGTTACTGTGTGTTGCTGGGAGATGCCTGTTTAGTCGAAACACGGCGCGATTGTAACTCCAGTTAGATCAAGGTTAAGTAGAATTTTATCTGCTAAATTTTTCGGATGTTCGCTCGCAGCTGC